TCAGAATGCGATCGCATGAACGTTGCAATGGAGCGAATCGTGAAGTTGTTCATTCTTTCAACATTTTCGTTCTCCTGAAAAAACTTGGCCGCATTCAGAAAAAATGGAAAACACAAATTATCGAAAGAATTAGGTTCCCAAGCAATATCGTATAAATCGAAACTATAGTAGCTCGGGTACAAGAGGTGTCATGGGTACTAAAAGAGCAGGACGGGGTGGAGTAAAGTCATGTCAGAAAGAACCCTTAGTAACAGATCGGGAACAACTCGGTGGGAAAAGGGGAATCTTCCAAGGGTCTAGGGAACAACTTGGCCCTATTAAAGCATCATGAGTTTGTCATTAAGTAAACTTCCGCAGCTATTCGCTTCACAGCAACCCCCTCTACATTGGTAAGTTAAACGAGGTGAAACTGGGATTGAAGGATTGGATAGACGAAGTTACAGAATGGGGTAGAATTACTTCATTGGGAAAGATCTGCTCGCATCATGTTTTTCTCTTATTCCTATTATACCCAACCCCTAATACAATTACGGTGTTCAAGAGGTACGAGGTGGAGCACAAACAGGTATTTCACCCAGTCTTCCATGACGCTTGAGGTCTTGCTTACGAAGTTTTCAAGGGTACAAAATGCGGAATCCCCCATAGGATAGGTAGCAGTCGGACAAGTGTCAAGAACACACAATCATGCCGGTGTGGAAAGAGTTTCAGCGAAAGTGTGTAGAATGAACGAAAGGAACATTTTCTAGACTATTTCCAAACCAAGAAATGAACGGCATACCTCGTCAGAAGATTCACCATCTCGAACTTGACTGGCACTCCTCCGACTTCGAACAGATGGACGAGGCGATACGGGCTGAGCCTAAATGAGAAATCCTCTAGGACTTTAAAGAGAATGTCTACGTTTTGGATCTGTCCATCAAACAAACCTCGTTGTCGTTCGGTTGATGTTGTACGCCTGTCCAACAGCTGTCCAAACGATTTTCGCATACAGTCAATGTCCCTAAAAGAGGTCGAATCATTCCATTAATTCTCAAAACCTGATTTCTGCCAGATAACAAAATCAAAAGCATCGAATAAAGCTAATTCAACAATTCCGATGCTCTCACCGAACACTCCATTCTCAACACAAATATATGTGCTCCTGTTGACGACTTTGAGTATTGGCATACCGAAGAAGAATAATACAGTAATAATCGGAGCAAACTGAAAGAGAAACATCTTAAAAGCAAACAAATAAATAAACAACACTAAACAAACACAAAATATCTGCTCAAAAACCAAGGTTTGGTAATCTTGTCCATCAGGAAAATTAAGAAGAATCTTTAGTGAAATCGCAAGCTCAAAGCTATCTCGGTAGAAGAGTGAGCGTAGATGAAAAGAGGAAAAGAAGAGAATGTAAAAGAACGAGAATTACTTGAGTTATTCCAAATTTTTAGGGTAAATGGTTCAGTAATGGACAAGAGGAAGCGGTGGTATGAAGTAATCTTCATAGAAAAGTAACTTCATGGAAAATCATGTCACTAGGTATTGCAAACTATGCGGTCCTAAGCTA